CAGGGTCATGTGATCACCTTTTGCAACCTTCTGACAAGCAAAGTCATTGAGAAAGCCAAATTTACTCCACAACCATGGTGCTAATTTAACAACAATGGTGGCAAGAACAGTTACAAAGGAAGCAAAAAATTCAGTTAGCTTGCTTCCTTAGCAACAGAAATTTTGGGCTCAATTGTGGTCACAAGTCAAGGTACTGAAATACCCATAAAAATCTTTGTTCCTACTTCTACCAATGAGAACATAAACTGAAACTTTCTAGTAAAATTAGATGCAAACACTTTCTATAAATAATGTTAGACTTTATTTGTAAATTTATTGTTTTATCGTAGAAAATAAAATACAAAACAGTAAAACAAACAAATGAAACAAAACAGGAACATACCTTCAACCCTAACAACAACAAAAAAGAATAAAGAGTTTCAGTCTTGTTGCTATTCTTCTTCTCTTCCTTGGTGCCAACAATCTAACACAATCTAGTGAAGCAATCTTGTCACCTTTACACTAGGAAGAACTGCGTAGTCCTTCCCGCCTAATTCAAGATCGCCTCCTTGGCCATCCAAGTTCTTCCTTAGTTGCCAGAAAGTTTTATAACCAACCTGCTTATGATGATCTATACTTTTGTATCCCTTCTTATATACTTTTAATGTGTGAAGAAATTTAGATATACCATCCTTAAGATACATTTTTTAAAAAAATGCTCAGATACCCTTCTCATTCAGATGATATATGTCAGGCTTAACTAAACTCCCAACACTAAGTAACATTAGAAGAGCTCATACCAGAGATTAAATCCTATTATTATAATTCTGGGACTGACTTCCTTCAGAGATTCCTTCCAGCTTCTTCCAACTTTTGCCATAAACCTACATGTCCAAAAGATATTCTAATGAATTTCTGTAGGAATTTTTTCTTTGTAGACAATTTTGCAGCCCAACAAAAGAACAGTCCACCATACAATGAGATATTGGCAAAGAAGCATCAAATTCTCAAATTAGGGACTTCTCAAATTAGGAATCACATCCCACAAGAAGGTTGCAAAACATTTTAAAACCTAATCTGTCTTGCAAGGGTAAAACAGGAGCAGAGTCACTTTGGATAGTGAGATGGGCAGCGTATACATTTAATAAATAAACACACAATAAATAAATAAATAAAAAATGTCAAAACTTTATCAGGCTTTGTTCCTTGCTTGGCCTAGACAAGCTTGCAGTAGCAACTATGGTACCGCAAATTAGAAAATCCCCAGATTCAAATTTAATTTAATCATTAAAATAGCATATTTATTTCTTGCACCAGCACTGACATATTTATGTATTATTACAAAAATCCATGTAGCATTTGAAGGAATTGTGGTATTCACGGAGTTAGTTTGTGTGTGTGTGTGTGTGTGTGTGTGTGTGTGTGTGTGTGTTGCTATGCAAACTTGGTTGTTTAAATGCAAAGCCCTTGAAGAATAAATATATTTTTGATATCTTTTTTTGTACATATTTAGAATGAAGCAGAGAGACTTTGTTTTCTAGAAAAAGGATTGCATTTCATTCAAAAAGCAGGTTTTGGAAGCCCTGGAGAAACACCCAGTGTTTCTGTTCTTTGGCAGCTTGTTTTCAAACAAGCTGTGTCTTTCCAAATTCTTAAGTGGTTTCAAAGGGTGTTTCAACATTGCCAGCAAGGCCCATTCTCCTTGTTCTTGCCACGTACAGATGGTGCACAAGAATGTCTTTGACAGTATTTTAAAGTCACTGTGAATAACCATTCTTGTGACATGAATAAAGTAAGGGCTTGTTTGCTGAACAGCTGGGGCTACAGTGTTCTTCGCATGGCCGAGCCTTGGGGGGGGGGGGGAGACGGGGAAGGAAGAAAAGGCAACCATTAGGTGAATGGCAAGTACACTCCCACTGTCTGGAAGTGACATCATCTCCTTTGAAACGGTGCCCTAGAAATCGGGTTTCGGGGGAAAAAGCACCCAACCAAATGGTAGACACGTTAGTGTTACAGAATGATCAGTGTTTAATCCCCCAAAGAAGCACAGTCGTTACACCGAGATGGAGAGATGAATGGTAGAACACTTATTGCACAGCTTGCAAGGAAATGGATTTAAAGCTTTTGTCTGGGTTTCATCTAGCCTGAGTTTTTAATGCCACTGAGAACAGTATGAAGGGGAAATGGGAAGGGGAGAGGGGTGTGGAAAGGAGAGAGAGGGATGTGAAAAGAGAATGAGAAAGAGGTAGATTGCATTTAGGGATTTTTTTTAAAAAAAAAACTTTCGGATGCCAAAAACAATTGCTTTTTTAACCAATGTGCATGAGAGTACTCTCACCATGAGCTGCCAAAAATAAAATTTGAACAGTAAAAAAACTAATAATAGCAATAGCAATAGAGCTTAGACTTATATACCGCTTCACAGTGCTTTACAGAGCGGTTTACAGAGCCAGCATATTGCCCACAACAATCTGGGTCCTCATTTTACCGACCTCAGAAGGATGGAAGGTTGAGTCAACCTTAAGTCACTCAGAACTGAACTCCTGGAGTGAAGCAGTGAGTTAGCCCTGCAGTACTGAATTCTAACCACTGCACCACCATGGTTCTAATTAATCATAACTAACAATTAAAAATAAAACAATTTATGTAATACTTTAAAGGAGCGAGCTATGACACAGGTGCTTCTGAAGATGTTTTGCAGAGAAAAATTAAGCTGGTAGATTGGGATATGTTATGTATTCAAGCTGGTTTTGTTAGCCATCAAGGCAAGAAAGAACATTGTTCAAGCTGTTACTGAATATCTAGGTCAATGTAGGGAACAACAATCCTGGAGCCCAATTTGGCCAACTTGCAACAACATTGGCCTTCGTTTTCCTTTATTCTCGCCTTTAGAGGAGGGCGTGCTTGACATTTGAAAAGATTGGCAACCTTGCTCTATTCACTGTAACTCACAAAATTCTAGATAATTGAGTGAAGGACTGAAGGGTAAATAGACTAGGGGCATTCAAAGAATTGATGAATTATCTTCCCTGAAAATGTTCACAGACTATTTCTATGTTGTATTGGCCAAGACCATAGATCCCACAAGCCATTTCTGTGTTGTTTTTTTTTCCAAATTAAAACATCTAGTCAGGCTAAGATGAAATGCTTACAAAAAAAAAAGTCTGTTTTACTGTTCAGGAGACAGCTTCTCACATACAGCTAAAAGGTAACTAGCAAAGATGCGACCCACCCAAATCATATTTGTAGTTTTCAGAATCCATAAGAATAGATGAGGCAAAATGTAGCATTAAAAAAAATCTTTGAGGGGTTCAAGGCATTTTAACTGATCCATTATCCTTGCAGATATTTGAGGAACCCATTTTAATTCTTTAAAATTCCTGGAGGCTGGAAGGACCTAGGAAACAAGAGATTTCAGCTGAATTCTGGGAGCTCTGAGTGGCTTTGGATTGGAGCCCACTACTTCCAAGACTCTGCCATCTTTGGGGCTGGGTGGGGTTGCACTATACCAGAGACCCAGTTTACACTGAGGGTTTTCCTAGACTCACAATTCCTGCTTAATGAGCAGGTAGCAGTTGTGCAAAGAGCTTTTGCACAGCCTCATGTGGTACACCAGTTGTATCTATTCCCAGACTTCCAAACTGAACTATTGCAATGCACTATGCACAGAGCTGCCTTTGACAAGTATTTGGAAGTTTCAGCTCGGAGAGAATAAGTGGTGCAGGCAGTTATGTGAGCTCCTAGAGCACGGGTGTCAAACTCATGTCGTCATGGCAGCGTCAGGTGATATATCGGGATTTTTTTCCCCTTTGGTAAACTGGGGGGGGCAGCACATGACACATCTGGCACATGGGCCGTGAGTTTGACACCCGCGTCCTAGAGGAGTGCATAGTGAACTTCTGCTCTGTGACCACTTTAACTCCTCCATTTTGCATTCATTAAATTTTGCAACTTCCGGACACTTATCATGGATCATAGCCAGAGTACACTCCCATATTTAAGGCATGGTAAAGACAACAATACAGAAGCTACAAGTGGTGCAAAGATGGAAAGATACTTGCTCGGTATTACAAGACAAGATAGAAAAACCTGCATATGGATTAGAGAATAAATAAAAGTATATGATATCATCAAGAGGGTAGAAGAATTGGAATGGAAAAGGGCTGGTCACATATCAAGAAGAACTGATGGCAGGTGGACCAAGGCAGTCATAGAATGAATCCCACTTGATAAAAAATGTTCACGAAAGAGATCCAAAACAAGATGGACGACATCAGCAAGTATTGCGGGTCCAATTGCCAAAGAAGCTCAGGAAAGGTTGGAAACATGCAGAAGAGGCCTTCATCCTGCAGTGGATGGACAATGGCTAAAATGATGGTGATGATGATGAAAAACAGCAATATTTAGGTGAAGCCTGTAAGGTGTATTTCACACAATTTATATTGACATTATCTATCAGTTCAGCCTTTCAGATATGTCTGTGAATGTTAACTCTCCAAATTCTATACTGACTCCACTTATTTAGATGGGAGAAGGCTTTCAAATTCATACAGGCTTCTTTTTGAAGATGCCACAAATAGAATTAGTTCTGCACTTCAAAAGTATCACAGTATGGTGAAACTATTACTCTAGGATTATACCATAATGCTTTAGAATAATGAAAGAAAATTGTGAAAAGGAATGTGTGATATAAGAGAAGACTATACCCATACAATTCCACCGTTCAAATCATTTTTGTCCATCTCTCTAGTACAAATTTCTGAATGCATAAAAAATATGTTGTAGTGATTTCACATTCATCAAAATACCTGCAACTGTTGTAAAAATATCTGATATTTTTCTTTTTTTTTCCCCCTTGGTCTTTTTCACTGGCTTTTCTGTATTTTTTGTTTCTGCAAGACTCTGCAATGCCTTTTTAACCAGGGATTAAACCAGGGATCTCTTTTAATCTGTAATAGTTTATATTTTTTTTAAAAAAAAAACCATATCAAACAAACAGAATTTTATATAAAGGGACTTACCTTTAAAGATTCCCATACAGGAAACTGTACAAGAGAGAAAGGAATCTGGAGTTCAAGAAAGAAAAAGGAAAATGAGATGCATGATTAAGTTGGATACTGTTAGCTAACTAAATTAGGAAAAAAATATTCACTCAATGAACTGTGGCTTCTTAAAATTATAAATCTCAGAGTATTATATTATACACAAGGCTGAAACTTTGACTTACTGTCAAGTATTATAGCCAGGGTGGGCTCTGAGAGTCAGAACTGGCACTACCAAGTATGGTGAACTTTAATGACTTAAAGCCTGGAAAAATAATACAGAGAATAGCCTAGAAGGTATACACAGAAAAATATTTGCCAAAGAGCTAGCTGCCTGCTCAGATTTGCAGCTCAGCAGAGACATTTAACTGAAGACTCAGCTATTTTCACAAGGAAGCTCAGTTCAATACTGACACAGAGATCTCTAACTCATAAATCCTTTGGGACTCAAACTGTCAATGCAGGTAACTATATCTCCAAGGGGTTGCCATCTATCCTTTGCAAACAGCCCTATGCTGAAAAAAGCCTAAACACTGCTGTTCCATTTGTTTTCAACACAAATGTATAAATATTTAGACCAAGAGACTGGCTGTAACCATTTTTGGCCAATGAGACATTTCACACAGCAAGCCAGAGCTTTGGAGACCATTCTTGTTAGGACATCTTAAGGCACACAAACAGATTTTCCCTCCACACACATATATGCCGATCACTTTACTAAGGAGAAAAGACTGGCCATGAAGCTTTTCTTCCCAACTAAAGGGAGCTTTTGCTCTCTCCTTAATACCAAAATGCAAGGAGTAATTTTAATTTATTTTTGTGTGCCGCATTCATTTATTTATATCCCGCCTTTATTATTTTCACACATAAAATGGCGAACATATCCAACACACCTTCCTCCTCCTATTATGCAACAACAACCCTGTGAGGTGAGTTGGGATGAGAGAGAGGGACTGGCCCAAGGTCATCCAGATGGATTTCATAGCTAAAGCGGGATTTGAACTCACTGTCTCTTGCTTTTTAGCTTGGTACCTTAACCACTAGACCATTTAACTATTAGACAAGTCCCCAAATTTCCCCAATGAGTACTGATACAATCGTTATAGTATGTGTTTGCTGCAAATTACAGACAATGTACCGTGATTTATTCCCTTTTGCTAGAGTTAAAGGAATATGATGATTCTCGGCAGCCCACTCATTAGCTGGGACCCCAAGAGATTCAGGACAGCTGGTTTCCAGAAACTAAAAGCTACTACAAGTCCAAGTCCTGTGATGAATGTTCATTTCTGATCCTAAAAATTCCCCATTTAATGATTGTGGTCTGAATCCTGAGAAGGTACAGGTAGTCCTCAATTAACAATAATTTGTTTAGCAACTGTTTAAAGTTACACAAGCACTGCAAAAAAGTAACTTACTACTGGTTCTCACACTTATGACTATCACAGCATTCCCACAGTCACATGATCAAAATTTAGGCTCTTGGCAACAAGCATGTATTTACAATGGTTGCAGCATCCTGGACTCATGTGATTACCAGTTGGCGTCTGACAATTGTGGAAGCTAGATTCACTTAACAACCACACAATTAATTTAACAACTGCAGTGATTCACTTATCAACCATTGCCAAAAAGATCATTTAAACAGGTCTGTCTCATTTAACTACGCCTTGCTTAACAACAGAAATTCTGGTCCCAGTTGTGGTCATAAGTTGAGGACTAACTGAACTTCTTTCAATCACATATTGATTCACTGAAATTCCTTTATGAGAAACACTCATACTTTCTGAATTAAAAAAAGATATCCTTTCCTATCCAACACTACTTCCTGACTTCCTTAAAGTTCAAGTTTCTGGTATCCACTGAACAGGGGTGGGTTCTACTTACCTCTACTACCAGTTCGCAACGGGAGCGCACGTGCGCAGAAGCTTCTGTGCATGCGCAGATCGTTCATGATAACATCTGGGTGGGTGGGCGGAGCTTTCTGCCGCCATTACTACCGGTTCGCAAGAACCGGACCAAACCGGGAGCAACCCACCACTGCCACTGAACGAAAGCAACAAAATAACAGGAAAGCTACAGTAACAGTAAAAAAAGTAACCCAGCAGCATAGAATCCATTAGCATATGCAGGGATCTAACACAACTACTAATAGATACTGTAACTGCAAGATTTTTTTGATAGGAAAATGTCTGTAATGCTAAACTGGGATGCCACTTTTACCATGTAGCCAAACTTTTCATCTCTGAAATTTTGGTGGAATACATCAGATCCTTTCAGATTTTGTTTATGAATCTTTTTTCACAGGAAGCTGCATGTTCAACCAAAACGTTAATCTTGAAAGATGATTGTCTATTTAGTATGTTCTATGTATGTGTCTGCAAACAGGTAATCTACTTACACCCATCTGAATTCAACAAACATGCTTAATTTTACAATGCAATGTAGCCACTGTTATGATAGTGTATTCATTACTTTTTCATGATTTTTGAACATGTCGACAAACTGTTTTTACAAAACCTACATTGCTTAAAAGCTACAATTTTTCAAATGTAAAATATTATTATAGGATGACTGTCAATCTCAGCTTCATTTGAGTTTATGTCACAACTAGTTAACCTAAAAAAACTATTCAGATATATAATAAGGAAGACTCAAGATGAGAATGCAGTAAACTATTCATAATGACATGTAATTTAATGTGATACTAAAATGTGTTCGAGAACTCTGAGATAAACTGTTTATCCTTTTTTAAAATTATGAAGATGACATACAGTGCATTCAAACAAAATAGCAGAGAAACAGATGTAACCATTTAACATTAATTTAATATATTCACTCAAAAAAACAAACCACCCTTCACCATTTGTTATCTGTCCACATCACCATCTGTCTCCTTCTCGGTTTCAACTTCCAAAAATGGAAATTCAGCATACTACAATCCACGTGCATTGCAATTTTAACACTTCCCTGTTCAAAATGTTGAGGAAATGGCCATTTCTGCTATACTATTTTCACAAGTCTAATAATGTTGTGAGGCGCGTTATACAGAAATCCGTCGGGTGCAATTCAAAGGATCCACCCACATCTGAATGTCTGTCTCCTGAAATCTTCATTAAAATCTAGTTGAGACTTTGGGATCCCTATCCTGAAGATGTTAAAGCCATTTTTCTGACCTAGGCTTCCTGAGACAGTAAAAAGCACAGTTAGTCCCAAAAACCCTCTTTTTATTTCAACGGCTGTTAATTATGTTCACTCACAGCCCATAATGAGTCACAAATAGTTTGTAAAGAGTCCGACAAAGTCTACCACAGTCCTTCGGAATAAGACTGATAAGCAACCACCTTTATCTCCCTTGACACGCTGCCAAAGACCTAACTGGCAATTAGCTTTGCAAGGCCACACGGAGCACAGAGTCAAAACGGAGCTTCAGAATTTAAACCAACCAGAACGAACAAAGTTACTTCCTGCTCCACCCTTATGTCTTTCAGAGGAGCCAATAATCTCCAAGCCTTACTCCTGAGTTGCCCCCTTTGTCTTTACTGTTCTTGCCTTCTGGCAGCTCTGCACATGCGCACTGGGAACAGGAACCCCGTTCCTCTGCCTCGCTGACGTCAGACTCTGGAGGCTCCGGAGTCAGCACATAACTCCCAGATGGCCCTGGCCCTATCTCTGCCTCTGATGCAGAGCCCTCGTCCAAGCCTTCCCCAGATTCCAGGACTGGCCCATGTTCCTCCCCAGCCTCCTCACTGTCTGACTCTGCTGTCAGCGGACCACAACAGCCATTTAATAGATTGCTTTGCAGAAGATTCTATGGTGTTCTTAAGTGGCTTTGAAAAGGCAGGATGAAATCCACCCCATGCCTACCAAACGAGATAAGGCTTTCTTGACTCCTTTCCCTCTGCTGCTCCTTCATACTTCCCCAACAAACACTGGGTTTAGAGGTCAGAACTGAGGTTCAGACCTTGTGCAAATGGGGTTCTTATGCAGCAGCCTGAGTACTTTTTGCAAGTTTAGATTCACACATATGTCACCTCTTTTGCAAAAGGTGCAATCTCATTCTGGGTACAATTCAAGATGCAGGTTATCACCTTGAAAGCCCCACATGGTTTGTGGCCATGCTATTCGAAGGACTTCCTCTCCACTATTATATCCACCCAGGCCACCAGGATGAGAGGGTAGGATATATTACCAGCCCCATCAATTACGGATTGTCATCTGGTGGGATCACAAAAAAGGGCTTCTCAGTGGTGGCTCCTTCTGTATGGAACAACATACCCCCAGAGGTACGGTTGGCCCCCAGCCTGAAAAGGCCCTAAAGACATGGGCTTTGTCAGTGGAGATAGGGCCAATCAAGTGGCCAATTTGATTGGGTTGTTGCTACCATTGGGGGTGGAGTGGGTTTTTTTATGGATTTCTTTATTAGGCAGATTTTAAAATGTTGTAAGTCACCCAGAATCCACCTATATAGCAAAGTTAGGTGGCTATATAAATTTGTTGAATAAATAAATTTTTCCACCATTTTTTCTTCTTTTTCCATCTTCTTTTCTCCTCTCCACTCCATTATTGATTTGCTACAGAAGAGTCCCAATTAATTTCTGTTTTTTAGGCTTTTGCAATAATGTAGTTCACGCTTCACACTTCTACATAATTTAGAAAAGCTACTCCAGGTTTTGGTTCATCAATTTATTTTATTAACCATACAAGAGCAGTCATAACATGATTTCTCAGCTGTTTTTATCTATATAAAGCACTTCAGTTTTGCTGTTCAGTCACACCTTGAGACTCCAACCCAACCTGAGGTCACGGGACTAAATACAGTCCCTAAAAGCTTTCAAAGGCTTCCAGAAGTTATTTCCCATAATTACAATTTTTAATGATGTAGACACAGAAAATAATTATGTATTAGGTCTGTGCAAAGCACTGAAATGGTTTGCTCAGTCCGGTGAAATATATGACAGAAGAGTAATCCTTTTAACTATATCCATATTAATATAAATGAGCTGGAATTTAGATTATGCACTAAC